CCGCCCCCCCCCCACCACTCACAAAAAATATTTCAACTCTTCGTCATCTTTTCACGCCCTTCTGGGCGAGATGGCCCATATGGTTAGAGCGCGAATTTAGTGACCGAAAGGTCCGTGGTTCGAACCTGACCTCCGCCTCTCGACTTCCCCTGTCAACCAAACAGCGCACCCGAGCTACCTACATTCCACAACACTGCTTCCCCTGTCTAGGCTTGGACAACCTGGCAGTGTCCCAGCCTTCGTGCAACCTTCGGGTGGCATGGCAGTTAGGCACCGAGAGGGTGCGATAGCTGAACGATTTTTTACGCCATTCTGCCGCAATGCCCACCTCGCAGTTTGCAAAACTATGGAAATTCAAAGAACGAAATTCGTCTCTGTAAATGTTTCAGCATGAGCAGCACATGGTCGAGCCACCGCAGCTGATGGTGTGGTATACCCAATTTCTAATTATATGGTTACGAGTTCGCTGACATCGTCCGATACCGGCAAAACTTCTTGGCCATCAGTGATCAAAAGCCTGAAGCCACTTCATACTATCTGCACACCGAGGTATTTACCGTCTCATTTGCACGGACCGTTTACGGGGTGGCTTGAATTAGTTCCATACACAACCGCTCATCGGAAACGACCACACGTGCTCTCCTTGAAAGCTGGGTAGCACAGTATGGTTGACCAGTTATAGTGTCAATGGATGGCGATTCGCACTTCCTTGGCCTGCTGAACACCTTATGTTGTAAGGGTAAGTGGAACATCCCCTCCGCCAGCTTAAGACACCTCTGTGCTAATAGGTAACCTCTAAGCTTACCGGTTGTTCGAAACATGATGAAAAGGGATTTACAGGCATCCGCCGCGCAATCGTTATATCTCCGGGTATTCTCCGAATGCCCGGAGAGCTAGTAGCTCTGACCACAACGGCAATTTTCAGTTACGAAGGTTACTTTGTTCGGTTAAGCGACTACATTCACGAATTCAAACTGGTCCATTTATTTCCTGATATTTTGCGCACAACTTCACATAGATGCACGTGAACAAACATTGTGAGAGTTTCTTTGAAGCTCTTACTCTGGGACTTGTCGTGTTTCGCACTGCCATCGAGGAAAGTGGGAAACGTGGAATGTTCAAGTAAAGGTAGTTGTCAAATATCAAAGATACAGCCACCCCAACCACTATCCTAACAGTATTTTATACATCATAGGCTGGAGGTTCATACATGAGGCCCTCCGCTTTCCAAACGAATCCGTCGCTAGAGCAAAGCGCCGCGGTATCAAGATTTACCAACCCGTCCGTTTGGTGAGTTACATCGACGCCTACCAATGCGCATTATCGTCATGTATTGACTACCTATAATGCCAGAGTCATTTTTCTCTCTTGCGTTTCCAATGCCGCTATTTGTTATGGAAAACACGGTTAGTACTCCTATACTAGCATGGTCTACCTTCTACCGGGTTTTGCATGTATAACATGAGTCTTACTTCAACCTTTGGCTTCACCAACTGTTGACGCTCTAAACAGAACACGGTCAATGACGAGCTAGACCCCAGTGACGCGCAGGATAAGTTGGCGTGCGACCGGCAGACCTCTACTCTGACGTCCTTACGGACATAGTTTGGACAAGAGGACATGAATATTCGTGCTTTCTCCTGGGTGATTGGCTACGAGATTATTTCTGGCTCCACAAGACCCCGGAGCAGACTACCCGTTCTTTCAACTGCCGTTCCGCTCAGTGTGAGAAGGTTATTTTCCACATTCTCCTTTGTAAGTTTACTCCGGTTATCTTCACCAGAGCCCCATACTCCTGTTTCATCATCTGTCCCATCGTGAACCTCAGGGCCTTTAAACCCGACTTCTGTGCGCAGGATGGCGCATTGGCCTACCACTTTGAGGAACACAGGCCATTGCCTGTCGAAGAGTTGCGTGATCACGTGCTCCTATGTTCTCGTCCGGTCCACAAACTTCTTTATTGTTTCACCACGGACAGTTCCCGTGATCAAACTTCTTCAAAGACCAGCTAATAATAATAGTCGCTCAGCAATAAGACCTTTTCAGTGCCTAGTTGCCATGCCACCCGAAGGAAGCATGAAGGCTAAGATAGTGTCAGGCCACTCAAGCTTGGAGAGAATCAGTCGAGATGCTAAGGTTGGGTTCTAACGACGAACCCATCTGTCAGTACGGTCACACATTAACCACTAAACTATCTTGAGCAACAGGATAGGACCCTATCGCCGTCCGTGCCGTCTCTACCAGGAGTCCTTCAGACAGTATCATTACCCATTTGACACAAGTCAGCGATTTTAAATCACCAGTTTCCCAGTTACTTCGTTTTACAACTTTTTCCTACTTCTGTACAGCAGATTGTTGAGTGTTGAATGTTCCACCGATTCATCATCACGATCCCACCAAGGGTACATATTTTCATCTCCCTTTTTTCTGTTCCGTTTGTCATGGACACTGCCAAAAGCTCCTGAATCCAGCTTCCCTCTCCCCGGGATTTTTATTAAAAAAGAGGTCCATTTGAAGTTACTGAACAGACGAAAAATAACTGAGACACGAGCATAGATTCTAAAATAAGTGAGGTAGCTCCTTTTGGGAAAATGACCGTGCCAAAACCAGCCATTTTTCAAAAGACGTACGATGACATCCTGTTCTAGCTGTACCTATGGAGCCCGAAGACGAGGGGTACACTGAAGGGCATACCTTTTGAGAATTCGGAAGCGGTTGGCTGGTACGCTAGAGCCTAAAGATCAAAAGTGGATACCCTCAGGCTCAGGAATACACTGCGATTAACGGACTGCATACGGAAGGCCGAATTCAATGGGATACATTCCCGAATCGTAGACCATTCCAATAATTTCGTGGATCCAATTACAGCTGACACCGTTAAGGAGTTACTGACCGGAAGGTCCGTGGTTCGAACCCGACCTCTGCCACTCGACTTCCCCTGTCTAGGCTTGGACAACCTGGCAGTGTCCCAGCCCTCGTGCCTCCTTCGTGTGGCATGGCAGCTAGGCACCGACAGGGTACTACAGCTGAACGATATTATCATTATTAAAGTCAATGGAGTTCACATCAAGCGACGTATTTGTGTGGTCGACAGATCAGTACCTGGATGAAACAGTATCACATGCGGTTCAGTTTTCCGCTGTACCATGTATCCTAAGATTTCCAACTATTCGGCAACAACATTAGCACGTTTTACCAAGTTGCACGATGGACATACAGTCAATTAGTAACAACTCACGTCTCAGTAGTCCCCTATGCGGATCAACTCGGGTGCTTGCTTGTCCACTGAACCCGATTGTGAGCCATATTACCAGCAAAACCATTCTAAATGCAGCTTAAGTTAATAATCCCACTAACATTAACTGCGATTTCGAAAAGTAAATGCCGCAAAAGATAGAATAAGGTGTTGTGAGCACCGACGAAGCCTAACTCATTTACCTGAAAAGAACAAGAAGGGCAAATTGGCTCGGTGCTAAATGCACGATTTTACTGACCGGAAGGTTATTGGTTAGAACCCTACTTTTGTATCTCGAATCCTCGTCTAGGCTTGGGCAACCTGGGAGTGTCCCAGCCTTCCTGCTTCCTTCGCGTGTGATGACAGCTAGGCATTGAAAGGGTTACAGCTGAACGAATTTCGTTTACTTATTCGAAAAATTACATTGCCCGAGTGCTATCTTCGAAGATAGCGAATTCGCTACACAACGCGCGACCGGTCCCCGTAGCACTTGCACCAAAGAGTCCAAAACGACAAGATCACATTTTATCTACAGATTATAAAAGAGAGAAGGGGAAAAGTTCGACAGCAAACTCTATCGGTTAGTTATTTTCATGGGAGATGTGAACAAAAAATTTGCCCGTCTGTGGCGAACTCCCGGGGTCATATAATCCCAGACAAATGCAGATGCAATACTCACTTCTAAGCACTGTTCATCTGTAATTAGCACTTTAGTCACGCCCGCCAGCTTAGTGACCTCTTCAGCCACCGCTGAGCATCTGAAGCCTCCGACTAAGCACGAAACACTACCTAATTTGGATGCTGCGGATATCGCATGTAGGGTTATTGGTTCAACATTAGAATTGTTGTGCTCCACTATAACCAAACTGCTTCCGAAACGCCTCAGAGTACTGAGAATGAGACGACTCCGAACCCCGGGTACACGTATCATCGGGATCGGAGTCAACGATGGACTAAGACGTGACTTAACCGGTGCTGAACGCCCTGATTGGCCATGTCTGGTGCTCAGTCAAGGTCGTACAATTTTACATACACGATAAAGTGTAGATATATAGCGTCGGAAAGACAGAGATATCCCGATTTGTGATTGGTGGAGAATACCCAAAATAGCATTATATCATAAGTAAGAAGGCTCTAGAAGCGAAGGTAGAAGAGCCGGCAAAACGAATAAGAGGACTGTTAATCCCCACCTCCATGTGGCAGACTAATTTGGTACTGGGGGTGGTCTTGAAATTTCTCTTCAACTTATACTGGGAGAGCACTGCAAATTAGCCTCTGAGCACTCTCCCCCCTGAGAGTGATTTGGAGGAGATCGAGGAAAAAGAACTTATATAAAAAGGAAAATAATCATGATGGGTTCGAGATGGGTTTTTCGTGATTTTCTCATAAATCAGTTAAGCTGGTAGTAACCTTTAGATGAGCCACAATGTGTGATGAGAATATCTTATCAACAGTGGAAGTAAGAGGATGGCGTTGTGGGGCGGAACCGGAACATTTCACGATAATCTTCAGAACATGAAAATATTTGAAATTAAACATGATTTTGCACGAAGATTTTCCTCCTGGTTTTATTGTGACGCCTGTCAGTTTTCCGTTTGCCAGTTTTCACGGCGATAGTTGACGCTTTGTAAAACAATTGGCGTGAGAAATATCAGCATGCCGAAACTGAATTCATTTCAATCGGTCATGCCCTGTGGCGATTTCATTTCTACCAGTTATGCACGCTGTTCCGTTCCGCGCAGAGCACTTTGATGAATATTTCCTGTTAGTTTTGCTCTGGCTCGCAGTTACTGTACAATATCGCCTTTCCTTGACCTGCTGTCACTTGTGCATAACCCCCTGATTTAGCCGCTGGTGTGGCCAACTCATTTCGGGAAAGCTAAGAACGTGTGCTCATATCGGTAGGCTTGCCCATAGGGTATTCCTCATCAATACCAATAATAATCAGCTTGGCCTTAGTTATCCTTAGGATTCGGATGATAATGTCTTCAGTGTTCTCAAAACACAGCATGTTTATACTAGAGCACGATATCTTCTGCAGCTAGAAGCTGCATCAAAATGTTTGACGGCTGTGCATCGCCACAAAAAAGGCATGGCAAGGAGCTAAGCGCCCAGTGTTCGGGATATATATATATATCTTTTTGAAGGACCTAGTTGGCGATTGGATCGGTTCAACATATTTTATACGCATAATTTCCGCGTTTATCACGATTTGTTGTATTTAAAGTGATCGCTTATATACACGGGAGTCATAATTAAATGTGTAAACCGTGGTCCGCAACTTTATGCTACTCTTCGGATTTATTTTGCTATTTGAGGTGAAAACACGTACTCAGCTTTCGACGGGAATCACTGTCGGAACCACGCATGCAGCATTGAACAATTTTGTCTACTTCGCGACCACTAATGATAACGATGCGGGAGAATCGTCAGAAAATACTTGAAAATATCTAATCACCCTGCTACAGCCAAACGGATTCTTCATGTGACACGAAACACGAGGAAAGGCAAGACAGACTTGGAGCTGCTTCCATACCATGAAGTATAAATTTATGCAAGCCCTGATGGAAGTTACTTGTCTACAGCAAACGGTCCACTTAGAGTATAAAGCTGCGGACCAGATCAGCAAAAGTGTCATAATTGAGGCATTCATGTGTGCGTAAGTTTTTCCAAGAGTGGCTAGATGAACGAAGTGCGAGGGAAAGANTAAGCCATTTCACACACATGCACTCAACAGTGGCCTGGTATTCGTACAGTGGAATTGATTTCTCGAGAGCTACAGCATTTTCAGGCTTGCCACTGCATAGTGTAGAATATCTATGCGTAAAGTATATGTTCATTTATAATTTCAACTTATCTACATTTGTGATATGTTTAAGTGAACGAATCTTCAAGGCCAATAAACTGCACCGACTGTGAATGCGTTGCTCAATGTGATAAGAAACGCGATTTACGCGAAAGGTGACTAACAATGGATGAAACTTTCAGATGGTGCCCCAGGTGAAATAATTCCACGGACATTCTGCAATCTACAAGGCCCTAGGGGATGCAAAATATATGGGGATGCCAGTCCTGTTAGAAACTTTTGCTACACAAGTGGTATCACCAGATAAAATTGCATAGTCCACGTTCATTATCGGCGAAAAATTCCGTAAGCTTGCTGTTAAACAGCAGTGTTCCGTTTTAGCTACGAATTATGCTGGGATGACCACGACGTTAACCAGTTATTGCGGTGGAAGCTACGCCCATCACGGCGGACAGCCGAACGAACCCGGCCGACACAGGCGACTTGCATGCGACTAGGGGTCCACGATGACCAATCAGTTAACTGGAGCTCGCCCGTCAATCTCTACCGGATGAAAGGTTCAAAATGAATGACAGAGAAAGTTGAGTTGTAATGACTACGTGCGTCCTCCGGGAGACCTCGTGAGGAGTGTTACTTTGGCCACTGACGTCCCGAAACGAGAGGAATGTATAAGCTAGGTGTCGAAATATCACCATGAGGCAGGCGGCTGACTAACTGAGAGATACTTACCCTAAAATGGGTGCACTTCAGCGGCTGTAATGTCGCAGATGCCTGATCACACAACGCCACCTTCAAAGACTACTTCGCATACCTATTAACCGTATTCAGCAAGATATACGAGATTCACATAAAATGCATGGGTCTCATCCACAGACGAATTGCCAGGTGCTGATGTGTCACGTGAAAGAATCTTCGTCCCATTCATCTAGCTGGCGCTCTACGGTGTTAGTCGTAGTAGTCAGGTATTTACTCACGGCTGTCGAGTAGTTCTTCCTTGAACCCAAAAACACGGACACAAGACTTCCAGGACACGCTGTGCCGGGATTCTGTGGTTCTATACTAGTCAATGCCTCCTTTGCGGAGCGGGTAGCAAGCATGCCTTTGTGTTTTCCCAATTTGCCAAAAGCTAAGAACCAGAAGTAATTCATTTTTATGTGGACTCACATTTAGTACAATCCTGAAGAGCATCACCGCACAGCGGGCAAGGCTCACCATCGAAACAGTTGGCGATCCGTTGCAGACCAGCCGTCGCTCATAGTGGACGGCAGGCCGTCATTTACATATTTGGAGCCTTGACCTAGCTGTGTTTGGCCTTGAGCATTCGATAGCTTTAAGATGGTCGTGGCCTTCTTGTTTTCCATCGCTCGGTTCATTTCACTGAGAAGACGGTCAAAAGCTGTCAGTTGTGGTTTGGGGACACGTGTAAGATGTACACCCTTTTCCGATAGGTTGTAATCAACCATCGTTGGTGGATTGGAAAGCAAGCCAAGAAAAAAGAAGGATGGTTATCACTCTTTGTAACGGACTGATCTCTAAATACACAAAACTAGTGTATGCAGGGGAGCCACATCACCTGGTAGAAAGGGCATGTGCATTTTCCAACATGGGATTCAAAAGTCTTGAAGCATCTGGGTGTTTGCACCACAACATATAAGTTAGTTACCGTAGCCTGACCTCGGATTGTTTGTCCCAGCATTATTGTAGGGCAGCCTTGGTGGTCGTGGCCCCAAATGCCTCAAAACGATAGAACATGTGTAAGTAGTCATTCGATAGACTATGTTCTGAAAGTGAGCTTGCCACTTGTCACAGCGACACCATGTATGCATCTCTAATTCTCTCATGTGCCACCCGGCGCAGGGCATGCTCAGGCGTGCTGGAGTGGTTCACCCGGTCTTTTAGGCGGCCTTTCTTATCCTCTTCACGATTGTTGGTAACATTACTAAAGTGAACCATTCTAGAGTGTGCGTGTACGCGCATTTTCCGGTGGTGTACAATCAGCGGGGCGTGAGATGAAAAACAAATCGTGAGTCCCTGTGGGTCAGAAGCTGAAGATCTTTGCGGAATCTGCGTGCTTGTAATACGATAAACAAAAACCTACTGTATGGCGTTGTCCAAATAGGCCGTGTGGCGGAATATGTGCCGGCTGCTCGCAGACTGTCTATGACCAAAAATACATGGATATTCGATGATACATACGTGCTTTCCGATGACTTTGCTGATATAAAATTAGCACAGACGAACACGGATCCTGCCACTTGCATTTGCACCGCCAAATTTCTCATAACACGAAAGGCTTGACTGGACAATGTTTGCTACTCATTCCTTTGAATAAGTCAAACAGTTTACGTATAGAGGCAGACTGTCTGCCCTTCACAAACGCAAACATAATCGGACGTCCGGTTTTCATGTCATCCATTATGAAGTAAGTATACGTCTTGTATCTACGGGCCAACCATTATGTGCTTGGAAAAACCCACCTGGGGCGTTTCATTGCATGCGTTTCGTGTATATTTACTAATTCTTAAAAGAGCGGGTACAATGCTATCTGCTGCCATCGTGAGAAGCAGGTGGCTACAGTGAACTTCACCTGACTATCATACAAGCATGTGCCCGGTCTCTCGAAGTTTTGCCAGGACCGAAAGCATATCATCTGCCACAGTAAAACCCAACTATGCGGCACCTGCTCAATAGAGCCTGTCGACAATTTCGGCGGTAGTTGTATATATCCTGAGTGGTAATGGGCTTGCCAAATTCAACGGCCAACAACTGCCGCACGTCGCACAACGACGTTCCGAATTTCAGAAGGGCCCCGCATGTGCTAAACTCGTCTCCGGTTAGGCGTTGATTAACTGGAAGCCAATCGTGCCAAAATTACGACAACTTGTGGTTCAAGAAACTGTTCCAGCGACTAAGACGTGACGGCCAGGTGGTTCCTTTGCCCCCGTAGATAAAACTACACTAGACAGCCAGTGCTTCGAAAATGCGCTCAGATTACTAGTTCTCCGGATTTACCGGCTTTTCGCTTGTCTCGGGGGGTTGACTGCTGCATTTTTAGTACATCCGTTAATAACGCAAAACAACGTTGGTTCTTCGATTACTGGATGAACGCGCAGACACCACATAATTATCCTTCATGTATTGATTTAGGGCATTCTGAAATGCCAGGAAAGATGAAAAGGATACAGCCCTAAATTTCTCAACATACGCTTGTGGAGCTACTTCGGAAGCTATAGCATGAGGCCCATTGGCCGAACAATGCTCTTAACTACAAAAAATTCGGTAGTAGAATAAAACTTGTTACGCCAAAGTATTTCATTTTGTTGTGCATGTGATAAAACCAAAAACGTCCTGATCCACGTTCCCATTTTTGCAGCTTCCCTGATTTTGTTGCCTGCTGAAGCAATCATAACCCTGGCAGAAAAAGTTTAGCGAAATACTAACCCGCCATTTATGAGACCCCCGGATGCCTACATGGGGCTAAAAATTTGAACTCACCCTGAACTCGATTGCTTATCTTTTTAAGTCTTTTAGAGACATGTCTTGGCTATCAAAATTCAAATTCATTGTGCGAATACTGAGCTCCCAGTTGGAGGTCCAGAAGAATAAGAAACCTTGATCAAACTGGTAGATAACGTGTGGACAGGATCTCTGGCCTCAAACGTGCATGCAATCTTGATATCAACAGTAAATAGAGAAGAGGAATCATGGGAGATTGAGTCAGTTAAATTGTTACTATACAGTGAGATCAGGGGGCCAAACCCGACACTAAGAGATCGTCCCTAATAAAAAAGGATTTATGGCACAGTGAAACAAATACAGAGAACCATTAGTTTAACAGAACCCCGTATGTGCTCCTTAACAAGTACAGAAGAAGGAACTCAAAAGCCTGAACGGGTGCGTTCCCACATTCATCTGTCGCGAGCAGTTCAGCACGTCCTCGATACCGATGCTGGCCATTGTTCAACGTAACCGCTTTTTGAACCGTCACGTCGCGCCATCTTCCTCAGGTTACCCAACAAATCCCACGAAAGATTGCGGACGAGCTGTTTGAATGTCCATACAGACTTTTACCTCTTACAGACGTCCCAAGCAACACATATTGTAGGAGGTAGACCATGATCCGTGTGTAGCAGAAGTTTCATGAAAATATGCGCGTTGATATTTAAGCAGGACCAACATTACTGAAAATATTGTAGGGTGATGAGATATTAAGACGGAAACAAACAGCTCGAGAATATTTCGCAAGGGGTGGTGTCATTCAAACCCGAAAAGACAACATACATCAGGTCCATAAAAAACCACGTTACAGAGACCACTGCCCCCGACAGGGTGACACCGATTGTGGAACTCGCTACGTGTGCGACAGCGTGCAAAAAAAAGTTGCCTTCCGGTTTGTATCTCTGCTGCTTGCGATTATCACTGAGTTGCCACCAACCTCAAACTATAACATCTGCCTTACTGAATGAAGGCATATAATTAACAGGCAAGAATGCGTTGAGCCCATTGTTGGCTGCCGAAAGTTTGAGATCAATGCGTGCTACACAACCGTTTTTGAGCAAAACTCTGCACACTGATGGTGCCTTATCGTGGCAGTCATTATTCTTTCCAAACTGACTCCACGCGCAGCACATTTGTCGCTGTCGAGAAATAAGAAGTGCCTCCAGATTCGTTGCACAAAATATACCGCTGAAAATAATGGCTGTAAATGTTCAGACAAACATCCTCTATTAGCTAAAAGCAGAAAATACAGTTCCTCTTTGAAATGCAACTACCACGTGTGGCTGTTGTCTCTTTTAATTCTTAAGACTTTTCAGGAATAAGTCAAACCCTTTTTGTCAATGAACAGCGCACAGTAAATCAATCAAAGGTGGAGGCATTACTTGATGACTCTAATTCACTGCGTGGATTTGTCCCTCACCAGGTCTTTTACATGTGTGTATTAAACTCGCCAGAGGCCTTTTAAGCACCAGAACAATGGCCTACAAACTCCTGGGGCCACAGAGCAGGCGGTCTCAAAATTATTCATGTGTTTGAATACAACATCGCCTCCTTCTGACCACCTCACCAATTCTCAATTCTGGGGGGGCCTCAATAGGCAAAATGATGACAGCTTGAAGCGAAATATTTGGTCAGAGAGCCTCGAGGTTGAGTGGTTAAGTCTAGCGGGACGACGACTCAGGGCACGACCCTTACCAAGCCCACACCTTGTCCGGTTTTCGTCGAGTTTGTCACTTCATTGTCACGAGTCCTCTCTATGTTCGGAACTGCTAGCCTTCTATAAACTGTGTGCCTGGGTATCATTGTTTGATCGTTTGCGTTTTACTTGATGGCACACTATACAACGTAACTCAGAGATCCATGGCGATCTGAGTGATTGAGAGGCTTGGTTTTGGGAACAGTTCTCGAAGGATGCGATCGGATGTCTAGCTTCAAACCAGTGGCAACAACTATCTGCCTGGCCAGCGCTGCATACACAGGTTGAATACGCGGGCAATGTGGCAAACTTTACTCTTTTGGGGAAGGGGTCCGCTTGCAGGTGATGGTTTTATTCAGAACGCTGGTGTACTCGTTACATAGGAAGTCTTTAGTCTCACCGTATTTCGCTTGAATCCAGTCATCTTATCGGCCTGTGCAAGCGGATGTTTTCGCCATTCACTATGTTTGGTTACGCTTAAGGGAATCGTGGACACTTAAACCGTTCTATACACCTCGTAGTTCTGGGGCCAATAACTGCAACTTTTGAGGCTGTTACCATTGGTAGCAATTAGTAGCGCCGCATTATTAGTATGTGTTGGGATATAATATAAAAGGAATCTATTTAAAAATATCACTAACTGAGAAACCTTGAGTCCAAACAAAGGTGGGTGGTGTGGATTCGAGGTCAACCTCCGATGAAACTAGATGATCAAGTGCATAATATACACTTATATGTATGAATCCTGCGGTGGCCGAAACCCGCGACAAGTGAATGACCAGGGAACTTTGTTGAGTATACCCTATTAAATAAGGTGAGCTTGTGGTAAACATGGGCTATTCGTAGAAACTTAGGAAAACAGGAAGAACTTGGTTGAAACCACCATATACAAATTGTTTCCGGTAGAGAAGCTTCGGCGAGGATGAATGCATATTGCTTATTTTTTTTATAAAA